ATAGAATTACCGTTTTTCTGGAGTGTTACAATGAACCTTCTTGCCCGACGTCCATTAGAATTGCTTTTAACACGAACATTGCGGTGGCGAGAACCATCAGAAGATTTCTCAATGGAATCAGTAACAGAGGAATCAGAGTCTGTACTTTCAGGAGATGGAGGAAATGACTCGACATCACAACTAGAAGATTCTGGGAACAAAGGAAGATCTTCAAACGAAGAGGTACTCTCCTGGACAGTCTCGGGGCTCACACCATCTAATGCTACACCACGCGATTGTAGTTTTGTTATTGTATCTTTCAAGTCAGTCAGTCGAAGTCCACATTCCATTTTGGTTAGTTTTGGAGGTTCCTCATCAGGTTGATGGAGTTGAGCAGCAAGTTTGCTTAAATCATCAGCTGACATCAACGGTGGTACATTATCATCTGATGATGCCGATGATGACTGCTGATCATGATTGACTGTCACGTGATTGAATGTATCTCTTTTCTTCTCGTCAACATCCATATTCAGTTCCTGGTCACTAATAGCAACCTCCTTTTCATTATCAACTTGTCCTTTACTGTTGTCATGGTTACTGTCTACATCGCCATGTTCACTTTGACTCTCACTGCCTTTATCATTGTCGTGGTTACTGTTACCATGACTACCATGATCACCACTGTTAACCTTCAAGTCATTCTCCTCAGATATTGGTTTATCATGCTTAACATCACAGTCATTCTTGGCTAGTGTTTCTGTAGATAGATTCTCATCCGTATTACTATCAGGGATTTTCTTTGTATTGTCTAACGCCCCTAACGATATTTCTATATTATTCTTACTATCAGTACTTGTATCTCCCTTGTGACTTCCATCAGAGGTCTCGTCATTCAAGTCCATATTATCACTTTCTTTGGTTGAGTCCATTCTGACATCACTGTTGTCATGACAACTATTGTGAGGTAATTCCTCATCACTAGCAGAACCATCAATGTCCTGGGACGAGACTGCCGTGTCAGTCACGTGACCTTGGTCTTGGTCCATGTCACATGACTCGGTGCTTTCCGTAGATATGTCCAAGCATAGATCAAAATGATCTCCGAAACAACTGGAGGGTTTGAAGGAGCTTTTAACGTCACCATCATCATCACCACCACCATCATCATCAGCAGATTGTTTATTATGGGTTTCTATAGGAAAACTGATGGATTCATCTTCATCGCTGCTGGTCAGATCGATGACTGTGGGTTCACATGGCATTGGAGGGGGGTCACCAGACGGGTCTTGACGGGGAGACA